ATATCATATTGGTTCTTAGTCGAAAAAAAGTTGGGAACCACTGTTCTAAAATACGTAATCAGTAAGGAATCATTATAAATTTGCTGCCAGCTAATATTGACAGTACCAGTAGTTATGTATATTAACTCAAATAGTTCCAAACGAATCCATTTCTTCAAAATAAACTGTATATTAAAATTCACTATTTAGCTTAAAAGTAAGTGATTTTAAAGTTTATAGGATTTGAGAATAAGAACTTAAAGTTAAACAGATGCAACAAGGCCATAAGTAGGATGAAGTAGGATGAAAACTATAGAAGCAAATTGAGTTTTGTACCATTTCCTACAGCAGCACAAAAATTTCTTTAAATATAAAATTTCTCTTCCATTCATTTAAATAAAATACTGTAATAATAAACGAAAAAATGCTATTTCGATTAAAGTAATTAATTTAAAAGTTTTTATCATTTTAAATGTGAAACCGTGAGTTAACCAACACGCATCAAGGATATGAACAAAACGGAATAGAATACTCTATTCTATGAATAGAATAACGGCTAAGTATATGAATAAAATGGTATTTTTACCCAACCACATAACAAGTTAATATAACGAGAAGGGTAAAGTGAATAAATATAATTTTTCTAAAAACAACACTGGTTCTTTAATTAGCCAATGTAATGCTAATTAGTAAAAATTAGCCTTTTGTTAGCAGTATATTTTTCAGATTGTGAATATAAAAATGAAAAAATTAGAATCTAACAATATTACAAAAATAAAGCAGTATACATAGTCATAAATGTGATGATTAATTCTATTACTCACTTAACTTCATCTTAGTTTATTTAAAACAATTAATTGCTTTAGTTTATAGTTTTTATTATCTATACCGAAGTACTTTGTTTCTATTGAAACTAAATTCATTAATATTAGGTTCAATATTTACTTTACATAAAATTTACCAAATCTACTTAATTGGACTTTACTGACTTGAATCATTCTTAGCTGCGTCCAGCAATCTGCGCAGTCAATCTGATTTACGGCTTGCTGATGACAGTTAGTAACACCGAGTATCTTGAAAATATATGTTTATAACTTTATCTCTCCACTAAGATTGTGGACGTCCTCACCTACGTTTTTCACCAGCGAGTACCACATCACACTTTTTGCCTTCATTTGCATGACTCAACAAAAATCTAGTTAAATTTTAATACTTTCAATTATTTCAGTCATTATACAACTCCGAGAACTCATCATTTCAACTTATTCGGTATTTGTTGCCAATGGGTATTAGACCATAGAACTAACCAATAACTTCCCAACAACTATTACTATTGAACCTTTTAAATCTTTCCAGCAAAAATATAAACTGTCACCTTCATGTTTTTATCCAGGGGATGCTACATAAAGAATCTTTTAATATAGTCGAAATAATTCACAGTTACTCCACTAAATAAATACATAACATTAATAAGACCATTTACTTTTTATGTATCAGAGTATAGCAATGGATCACAATACTATTGTGAAAAACAATACCTATTATTGACCATATAATTTTTAAAATAATTGTAGACGTTCTTTGGCTAAAGATGTGAAACTTCTTGAAAAAAATAACTCACAATAAAACTGTAGCATTGGAATTGGTCAAATGTTTTTCAAAATGGGGTTCCACTGATATATATTATCTTTTCAGAACTGATTACGTAAATATATTCAACCTATATAAATTTCAGTACTAAGAAGTAGAAATAATAGTTTCAAAGCTGCAAAATGTTGACACAATATTAATTTATATAATCACATATTTTTCCGATAATAAATGGACAAATACTTATAAATTTTTTTTGTGTTCATTTCTGAATTCATTTATTTTAAGTAAATATGCATATTTATTTATGTTTCATAACAATTGTATCTACAAAGATATTTTTATTGTCCTCATTTCATTCATACAGTTATTGTTAACAATTTGTTCATTTATGAAAACAAATTTAATTATTAACATTTTTATGGTAATAATAGTTGACCTTTATTCAATGTTGTTTAAAAATTGAAATTTAACTGCTACAATTAACTATTGTATATGGAGCCCACCCAATGTCTATATCCTGTCGCGGGTTTGAAGTGTGAGTACAATAATTTAAGCAACCCATCAATTATTTTCACAAAATATGAAAAAAAATGTTTATGGCATTATTTATTAAATACGAAAGGTCCAGGCTGTGCTTCGTTAATCAATATAACGAGGGTAGTGTTAAATTGAAAAAATATAAAGAAAATGTACTCAATTCTATAGATTTTTTAATTAAACCTTTAATACAAATAAACATTTTATTAAAATATTTTTTTCAGCACAAAACTTAGTTCTGCTTAGCTCTGTTTAACATATAACCGTCACATTAGAAGTGTTCCCAATTTTTTACTTATTCTATGGTTTACAACCACCTGACTATAAAACTTCAATTGTTTGTTAGGAGTGACTTATTAATCCCTCATTCTATCTATATTTTTGAATTAAGCATTTGGCACTCAAAACTACTGATGATTAACTTTAATAATGCCTGCCTTGTTAATCCATTATCTACATATCGTAGTTGGATCTTGCAATACACCATGCCGAAACTACGAAAAATATCAGTTGCCAGATCTACTGTCTTTTATAATAGTACTTAACATATACATAAAATATATAAAAGAAAGTTTTTTGAAGTGTTAGGTGCGAAGAATTGAAGTTAATTGGAATGAAGTATATATTATATTATACGCTATATTATATTATTATTTAATATTTTGCATATATATTATAATTTTTATTTCATTCTATCTAACTTCAATCCATGGTATTAGACACATCTAAAATCTTTCTTACTAATTATAAAGTAAAAATCTGACTTATGTCTTCATCGAACTTGAATCATCAGTCCATGACAAATCTAAAGTCTTTCTTACTAATTATTAAGTTAGAATTAATAATCCTTTACTTTATCTATCTTACCATATACCGTATTAGGTATATGTTAACTATCAAAAAATTATTGTCAGTTTTAATGTTAAACTTATCAATCCATTACTTTATCTTTATTTTGCACTCGTTCCTTGCGGTTTATCTCATCAAAATTCTTAAAACAAAGTAGTTGATATTGGAAATCCTAGATTTCTTATCGTAACCTCTAATTACCATTATCACTTCTTAAAAAAAAACTGCTAACGTGTTCGAATAGCAAAGAAAAGACAAAAACAAAAATTTATTTAATTTATTGAAATTTGACTGACTATACAACGCTGTTTCGAGTATTGCCAAGTACTCATCATCAGTGTTCTTAGGAAATATTCGAATCTTTTAATTAGTCTATAGTCCGTACATAATTTGTTTCTAAGTTATATATAATTTGAGTCTGTCGAATTAGAAACAATACTCTTAACAGCGTTGTATGGTCAGCCAAATCTCCATAAATTAAATAAATTTTTGTTCTTGTCTTTTCTTTGCTATTCGAATCCGTCTAACTTTTAAGTAGACGGATTCGTAGTTAAAAGTAGTAACTTTTAACTTTTAAGTAGTTACTTTTCGTCATTAAGACGCGTCATTTTTGACAAAAAAAAATTAACATTTAAAACTGTCTATTTACCTTTTTTGATTAAATTTTAACACATTTTAAAATAAATGTGTTAACATTTGAAATCCCAGATTTTTTACCTTGCCCTCTATTACCCTCACCCAATTAAATTTCACTACTTGCTCTACCAAAACCTTTGAAAATAAATTCTAATCAACTATTATAACACCTATACTTTCTATTGAATATAAATTTATTATTGCCACACAATACAGAAAATTCCTTAAATGTAAAATTTTACGATCAATTTCCTAAGACTACTTGAATTTTATTACATTAACTGCCAGCACTGCCAATCCTTTCCGCATTGTGGTATAGAACATTTTAATGCTATTTATGCTACTAAAGTAGAGTTCTTATATGCAAATTATAATTCCTATGGCAATATGGATCCAATGCACCATTTGTACGACCCTCGTAAATACTTAAAGTTACGTGAATAACCGTTTATTTACATATAAACTGATATATCTGTGTATATATGGTATATAGCAGTTAAAATTGGCATGTACAGAGTCTATTTAACGACTGGTACACACAAAGGGTAAAATTGATGAAAAGCTTGTTGCTTTATTAAACGACCAACAACAGGCATACAAATAAAAACTACGACAAAAATACTTCCGTAATATTAGTACTCACTGAGTGAGACCCACAACCCGCAACAATTGCACTTACTATTGCGGTGTCAGTACCCATTCACTGCGGCATTTTATGCGATACCATGAATGGCTTGGCTTATCCGAATATGAGAGACAACATGAATTCCGAAAAAAAAAAACAAAAAAAAAAAAAATTAAAAGCAAATAAAAAAGGAAGGTGAAAGACCATGAGTGCTCAACCCACAATTTTCATTGTTGTGGCTTAATGGAGGATTCATAGCTGTTACTAATGGTGCTCTACTCTACACTGATGTACACTGATGTTGTAGTATTTTTATTGTTATTGTTAAGCTGTTTATGTTGTTGTTACTGTTGTTGTTACTGTTGTTGTAGTTATAGTTGTCGTTGGTAGTTGGTACTTGGTACTTGGCACTTGGTATTTGGTGTTTTGGAGCTGTCGTTGAAATTGTCATAGTGTTTTTGTTGTGTTGTTATCGTGTTTGTTGCCAATAACAACCAACGCGTTTCTAACACAAAAATCGCATGAAAAAAAATCGAAAACTGAAAATCGAATTTTCTTTAGAAATGTGAGTGAATTGAACTTGTCAGTTGCAAGTACAAAAGCGACATATGGAGTTGAAGTGCACAGCTGTTCCCTACTGAATACCGACCGGATAGAGCTGACTTCAGCAAAAACGTGAAAATAACAAGTAACAAAAAAAAAAAAAACAAAAAAAAATATATATATATATAATAGTATAAAAATTTAAAAAATACACAAACATTTAACAAAAACAAAATAAAATGCATAAAAGTTTTATGCGCTGCCATTTCAAAACGTTTTCGTCGCTTTCATGTTTTACTTAATCGCAAATAGCGGAAAAATACTTAAAAAAGGCAAATTTGTGAATTTCGCACATTTTATGCTTCTTCAAAGTCTAAGCTAATCTATAAAATGTTGACTTGTGTTTGCCGTCCCGTCTCCGGAAATCTACCAAAAATGCCACCGAATGTGCTACCAGCGCCCAAGTCGCGCCCAGCAACCACAATGGTCGTGGTAACAGCGGAACCGAAAATAAATGTAAGTCTAGCAATTATGTCAAGTGCCATTTTAGACCAAAACATAAACGAACAATCCAACACCAAAAAAAATAAAAAAAAACAAAAAAAAAATTAAAAAAATATCTATATAAAATAATAAAAATAATGAAAATAAAATATAATGCAAAACACTAAAGAGAAAATAGAAAACACAGAACAGGAAGTAGGAAACAGGAAAAAGGGCAATAAAAATTGCAAATTTCAATCTCAGCTAAAATATCAAAGTACATGAAATAAATTATATTTTATTGAGGATTTTTATTTTTATTTTTATTTTTATTTTTATTTTTACTTTTATTCATATTTTTATTTAGGGTTTTATATTACTTGTACTTTTCTATAAGCATAAATAATTTTTGTTTCAATTTTAATATTTTTTTTTTTTATTTTTATTTTCTAATTATCGTTTCACCAGGTGCCTGGCAGGCTGACGTCAGCCGAATTAAGGGCGATGGCACTGCGACAGCAGCAACAAATTGACACACAACATCAACTGTTGGCTACGAAGGAGCAACGTTTGCGTTTTCTAAAATCTCAAGAAGTCCGTAATGCGGTAGCCGAAGGCGAACGTTTGCGACGTTTACGTGAACGCGTCGAAGCGCAGGAATCCAAATTGAGGCGTTTGCGTGCGCTACGAGGTCAAGTGGATTTACAAAAGACTTACAATGTTACACTGAGTAAGTGTTCCAGTTAACTCTCTATTGTAGTAGTCCTTTATAAACTATATACCATACCCCATACACCATACACCCTACACCATATACCATACCGCATAGACTATATAAAAAGTATATTTACATACTACTCACATATTTCCGTAAAGCACACGCGAACTTTAAAAAAAAAAAATAAAAAAATATCTAGTATAGCGCAATAGAGGAAATTTAGTAAAGGAAAAAAAGCGAAATAATAATATTTTTTTTGCATGTATTGAGGTTATTTTGTACTTGAATTCTTCGTTTTATTTTCCTTTTTATGGCAGAACTTTTGTACTTATTAAATGTACTTACACTAATGCCACAATGAAGCGCGCTGTGTTAAAAATTTGTTGAAATTCTGTTGAGTATTTAGTGTAAATGTGTATTTTTGCTACATGTGTTCTTACTGCTACTTTACTCTTATAGTCAACTCAACATTCATACTCACAATGTTCATTGCGAATTCAAGTAGAGAAGGTTTAAGTACGCGAACAAACGCAAACTCTACAAAACGAGATTAAAAATTCAATATCGCGTACCGCTTCAGAACATTCTGTGGAATAAAGTCGATGCACCTAGCAAGTAAAATTACTTAATCCTTCGAGCATTTGCTATGTACAAATATTTTTTATAAAGTACTCATTCGTAAAATAGAATAAGACTCTTCTCCGACTATACAAGAATAGCCTTATATATGTTTGTAAGTATAACTACGATGAACAGCGTTACTTCCTTTTTAAATCAATTTGTTCTTGAAAATTTCCTCCAGCAAATCTCAAAATATAATAAGCACCTGTTGGTTTATAAGAATTATTTTCCAGCTAACAATTTATTTACGAAAAAGTAGTATTTAAGATCAACAATATTGAAACTTAAACTTAATACCATAACTATGGTATATATAAAGCCGATTGCCACTTATCCGCTTTAGAGTTAAAGTTGATTGAAAAGTATTAAATGAAGAGAATAAATTTAACGAGAAGAATTTTTGCTCTTCCTTGTTTATATATATCTCTTCAATTATTTTTTTAAATAGTTGAAGAGATATAGCCTTTATTATTATGGAGAATTTGTTTTCTACACTTAAAAATGTATATTAAGCGACACCATATTAAAATAATATGAAGTAGTTTATCCTACTACGACTTTTGATTGATATATTAAAGCTAAAAAAATTTACTAGTGGAATTTGTATACCTCATAATACATATGTATTTCAAAAGTTATTTTTATTTTATTTTTAAAAAGGCAATATTTGGTATTTAATTATTAAAATGTATATAAGTATATAATTTTATAGGGATTTTGAATAGCAAAGAAAGAAATAAAGGACAAACACAAAAATTTATTTTAATTTTATTGAAGTGTGGCTGACCATACAACGCTGTTTCGAGTATTGCCAAGTACTCTTCATCAGTGGTCTTTGGAATAATCGAATTTTTATTTAAGTAGTTTATAGTCCGTATATAATTTGTTTGGACTGCAA